TTCTTTCTTTCTTTCTTTCTTTCTTTCTTTCTTTCTTTCTTTCTTTCTTTCTTTCTTTCTTTCTTTCTTTGCCTTTGCCAGATTTATAGTCAATTTAGTATCATGACTAGTCCATTCACTGAACACTACTAGGTTGAAATTCAATACATAAAATACCTAAACTGTTTGGACAGGAGATACCACAGGTCACTTTGGCAATCTGAATGAAAGATGATCTCAGAAAATACACACAAAAATAGCACACAAATTTAGGTGCTGGTGTGCTAATGCCCCTTGTGGGTTCAGGCACCCAAGAGAAGACCTTTTGAATACAATTCAAGCTCCCCATTTTATATAGCCTTTCTGGCCCATTTTTCTGACTTGTAAAATGAATGCAATCCCTTCAAAATGAATTTGAGCTAACACAAATGAAATGCTTAGAAGAAAACATCCAAGTAAGAACTCAGTAATTGGCATTTGCTATGGTTATAAGGGTTATGTTATTACATGACATTTCCTTAAGTAATAAAGGTTATTCCCGGGACAAAGGCTTCTTTTTCCCTAAGTGATGACTCAGTCCACATTCACATACTTCCTTTCTGTTTCACTTCCTGTTAAGTTCTTCTAGGTAATTTTCTAGGGATTCCTAGGAGACCAACACTCGAGGCATGACTGGACACTCAGCAAGTGGAGGCAGGATTGTTAGTTCAAGGCCAGCCTGGGCTATATAGTGAAACCATATCTCAAGCAAACAACAAACCAGAAACAAACAAAAAATATAAAATTGACACAAAATCCTTATCGTCAAGAAATCTGTGCTCACTGCCATGCAGTTCCCCTCAGCACTTCCAAAGATTTAACCAGAGAATAGTAGTAATGAATGGCGTTTGGAACAAGAGTGCTTCTGCCGATACAATTGTAGAAGATTGCAGGTATGATACAGTTCATGCAATATGATTCTCTCTCTCTCTCTCTCTCTCTCTCTCTCTCTCTCTCTCTCTCTCTCTCTCGTGTGTGTGTGTACACCTCTGTAACAGCAGCAGGTTGAGGTCAGAGGACAACTCTGTGGAGTAACTTCTATTCTTCCAGTTGTATGTAGGTTCCGGGGATCAAATTCAGGTTGCCAGCTTCCAAAGGCAAGCATCTTTTTCTACTGAGCCACCTTGCTGGTCTGCCTTCTACTATTCTTAACAATGGGGTTTATTAAACAAAGGAAAACTAAAAAGAGCATAGGGGCCTGTCAGTGCTCTGATAAGATTATGATTTTAGGTTTACCATAGTCTTTGAAGGTATTTTTACTATTTGTTTAAATTGGATTGTGAACCATCAGAAGGCAGGCTATCTAACCCATTCAGTTTCTTACCTAATGCTAGTAGGGACTGTTATTCCTTCTTTAAACCATTACATGAGGAAACATTTACACTGACCTCATCAAAGGTACAGTTCCAACGATTATCTCCGCCTTCATAGATCTTCCAGTGGAGCTCCAGAGATGGCTCCAACGTTAAGAGTGTTCACTGTTCTTCCAGAGGACCTGAGTTCAGTTCCCAGGATCTGTGTCCAGAGGTTCTCAACTGCCTGTAACTCCAGCTGCAGATGACTTGATGCCCTTCTCTGGCTTCCCTGGGCACATGTGCTTATCCACATACCTACATACAGGCACACACATATACACATAATTAAAAATAAAAATCTTTTGAGAAAGGAAGATGCTACTAGTGACTCATTTATTAACATGTGACTTGTGTTGTCCTAGAAAGAATTAAGATAATATGAATTGTATCTAGCTACTCAAACATTTTACTCATTTAAATGACCATGCCAATTAGATTGAATTAGCATGATGTTAATAATTTCTTCTTTTAGGGGAGCTTTTGTTGCAGGGACAAATGGAAGAGAACTCCAAAACTTCACTTGCTTTGGCGACCTTAGCAGCTGAGAAGGGATTTCATCCCTTTAAAATTAAAATTTTTTGGAAATAATTTGATGTCCACCTGAGTCTGGCGATGCACTTTTTACATTAGGGCAGAACAAGCTTCTGGACATAGAACCAACCTGGGCTTTGTTTCTGGGTGATACAAAGGGAAAAACAGATTAAAAAACAAAACAAAGCAATGCGATTCTCTCTGGGTTAGTGGGAAAGTGAACCTTGAGGTAAACCATTTTTCATGAGCTCTGAGGACAAGGCCCTCCATTCTACTGAGCGGGGAAGGGTGGGGGTGTCTAGGACTCCAGCCAGACCGGCTCAGTCATCACCTTTCCGTGCCTTGCTGACATGTGGTCCATTCCACTCAGATGCACTGATTTTTTCAGATCCCCAAACTCATGCGCTTTCTAGACTGTTACCCCAGTTCCTCACAACACACCAAATACCTGCCCCTACCGAGTCTCACTCTGGGATACCACAGTCAGATAAAGCACCCCACTCCTCCTTGTCTCCTCCAGAAGGATTCCTCCACCTCCACCTTTTTTTTTTTTTTATTATTATTATTTTTGAAACGGGGTTTCTCTGTGTAGCTTTGGAGCCTGTTCTGGAACTCACAGAGATCCGCCTGCCTCTGGCTTCTGAGTGCTGGGATTAAAGGCGTGCGCCGCCACCGCCTGGCATCCACCTCCACTTCTTCACGACTCGTTACTGAGGAATGACTCAGGCCACTCAGGAAGCTAAGTGCTTTATAGGTGTTATATCATAAGTAGTCTACATGGAGGTAATGTCATTAGTCTCATTTTATAGGTAGAAAAACAGACTTTGAATGACGAATTAATTTTCTCAGTATCAGACGGCAAAGATTTGAATGTCAGAGCCAGGAAGTCAGCTCACCCCGCGACGGTGCCAAAGCGGAGTGCATGCGTCAAGCTCTTAGTCACCATACTTTTCTGTTTTCTCTGTCCCACTATAGCCCCCTTTCTTTACTCCTTTGTTACTTACATACATGTCTTCTTAATTAAAAAGATTTTTTTTAGTACTTTTAGAGTTTTTAACCCACAGTTTGTCTAGTTTCCCATGGTGCTCTGCAGCCCTGCTTGAGGGCAACACCCCTTCTGCGTCCCTTTGGCTGTCAGAACAGCATCTTTCATCCAGTGGGTGCTTGATGAGTACTTCCTAAAGAAGACATATTAAGATAGACTGCTCAGAACCAGATTGGCAAATTGATCCCCAAATCTAGGCAATCACAATTAGTCCATGTTATATTTTTTCTCTTTATGGATTATTATAGAATAGACGTTTTTTGTCTTCTTTCAGAAGAAGTCTTCATTTCTCGTGTGTGGAGATGGGAATTTTGACAACCAATTTGGGTCTCCAGGTCTTCAACGTGAAGACTCCAGGAGAATTCTCTCACTCTACCTCCTGACAGAAAGACACATCTGCTGTCTGTAAACCAGAATGAGTTTCTCACAGGAGGATGTTGGTCAGCATCTTGATTTTGAATTTCCAGCCTCCAAAACTGGAAGACAGTGAGTGTGTGCTGTTTAAGCCACCTAGTCTGTGGCATTTTGTTACAGTAACCCGAGCTTACGGATATGCAAAGGGACAGTCTCATATTGCATCATGATACTTTGGTTGACGGTGGACCACATATACATCGTTAGAGCCAAAGAATATATTATTGCCCAGTGATGTCATAGCTGTCTTGGTTGTGAGTATACCCTGATATTTGCACAATGATGCCATCACGTAAGGAAACATTTCTCATTAAGTAATGAATGACTATATATGAGAAATAAGCAGTCTTTGGAAAATTTATGGAGTGTTTAGGTGAAAGAAAAACATCATGTGGGGAGGGGACCTGGAGAGAGAAGGGCTTGTGGAAGCTCTCATCGCACACCTAGAGCCATAAAGCCAGTTTGCCTGGAGAGCTGGCTGAGCGTGCTGCGCTCCCAGAGCACACCCAGCTTTGATATCTGACACTGACAGGCAATTAAAATCTATTTCAGTCTCAGCTAATCAGTAAGGGGATCGCAGCGCAATCTTCTCACCCGCGCAGTTTTTTCAAAGTCCCCCTGATTGGAGCACGAAGCCTCGCAAATGTTCTGCTCTCTTTTGCCTCTGTGGGTCCTTCTTGCTCCAGCCTTTGCTACAATGCATCCTCTTCTCAGGTGGACATCTTGAGGACTGCTCGCCTAGTGTGTGAACACAGCGTCTCCCCCGGAAGATGGAAGTGCATTTAGGCAATCGCTGTTATGAGGGTAAAATGATTCTGGAAATTCTGAAAAAGGCTGCTGTTGAAGATTGGGTGGGACCTTGGTTTTTAGGCTTTCTGAAGAATTGAAGGTTCCATGACACCCTAGATCAATGGCTCTCAACCTGCTGGTGGAGACCCCTTAGACAAATTTTTGTCTCCAAAAAAATTTACATTACGATTCATAAAGGTAGCAAAATTACAGTTCTGAAGTAGCAACAAAAATCATTTTATGGTTGAGGAGGTCACCACAGCATGAGGAGCTGTATTAAAGGGTCACAACATTAGGAGGGTTGAGAACCACTTCCCTAGACTGACATGGAAAGACAAAACAATATGGGAGCCATGAAATGAGCTGCTACAAGGTATGCTGTGGTGGCAGTCTTGAGAAGTGACAGCTTGTCATGCTGAACCTTTGCTACTGTTATTGCAGTTGAAATAGTCCCGCCATCTAACCTAGGATATTCTCAGACTTGAGTCATAGCTCAGGCTGGCTTTGAACTCACGATCCTCCCGCCTGTATTGTACCTCCCAAATGCTGGATTATGGGTGTGTTACTATGCCTGGCCTTCCATCCAGGATTGGTAACATTACTGTAGTGACAGGAAATTCCCAAGCCCTTGCTGGGGACTGGTCCTCACTTACTCGATCTGACTGACCGATTCCTCCATGCCGAAGATGAGGAGATTAAAGCCGCCATAACCCAAACTACGTGTTCAAGGCTATAGAGAACAAGGGAGGGGCTGGCCTTGAGTCCCCACCGACTGATCCTGGAGTGTGCGCTTTTATTTGTTCTTTCCTGAAGATGGGACGTGTGGGGGGATTTGATGCAAGCTCCTCCCTACCTTCCATGGTACCCTGGGTGAGGCCCAAACCATAAAAGTTGCCAGTTACTGCAGAGTCACTATTTTATAGGAATGGCTATTTTTAAAAGCAGCAATTTTTGACTCAAGCACACATTTTGCATTTCCTTGGTTGCCAAGCCCGTTTATATAGAAGGTACACCAATAATTTTGAGTGCAAGGGTGTTATGAGAGAAGGTTGCATGGTAAAATGAAAAGGAAATTGTAGCATCAGCTCTCAGAGATCTGTGGTTTAGTTTATAGTGCAGGGGCAAAGATCCCTCCATCTCACTGTTTTTCTTATGTTGCATTTCCAGGCATGGCCAGTAGGGGGCGCTCTAGTCACTTAGGGGCTCAGAATAACAGTTCTAACTTAAAAGAATCTATTACAGCCTTTGCCACAGGAAGCATCAGCGAGGGGAAACCCTGCATCAGCACCCAATTGTCACCTGGAAGTGGCTCATATCACTTCTGTTGACAGTTCATTGGATCAAGCAAGTCATTTGGGCAAGCCTTGTTTCAAAGATGTGGGGAGTCCTCAGCCTTGGAGAAGAGGCAGTGCCCGGACAGACTGAAAACGGATCCTCGTGCTGTTGATGGTCGACTCGACAGGATCTAGAGTCACCTAGGAGACAAGCTTTTAGGAACACCTGAAAGGGGTTGTCTAGATTAGGCTGTGCCTATGAGGATTATCTTGATTAGGTTAACTGAGTGGGAAGATACATCCTAAGCGTGGCTGGCACAGTGCTCTGGGCTTGGGTCCCGAGCATCAGCGTTCATCTCTCTCTGCTTTCTGGCTATGGATACCTTGAGTTCTTGCCGTCACGACTTCACTGCCATGAGATACTGATCGGGAAACCAAACCAACGCTTCCTGGCTTCTGTTCCTTCTGCCCCGGTACCACGGCACAGGGACAAACAAGTAACACGATCCCCATTTAGCAGTGGGTGATGAATGGCCAGTTATGCCGTTGGTAGCTGTGACAGACACCCGAGGAATGCTCGCTCACAAGGCTCACAAGCTTGCCCCACAAGATGACTCCCTTCAGTGGAGAAGACAGAGCTTGCATCAGAACCGCCCAGAGAAAACACCATTATTTTAAAATAGTGCCACTCAAATTACTATCTGCTCACCAGACCCTGCCAACCAAGGGCAGCTGTGTGGTTTCTTGAGCAGCAAACCCTCTTTCTGTTTCTGTCCAGGCTTGGCACAGACAAGCCTTATGACTATTTTCATGTCCAAAGAACGTCTATCTGAGAGAATATTCTATTCATAGTCCACAGTTCGTACAGTTTCATCAAGGGCCAACATCAAAACCAGTTTGTTTCTTTCCCCTGAAGTACCTGCCATCTTGTGTATAGCTTTCTCTCTTCCTAGTTTGGGTTAAGAGCTCTTTATATGGCTAGCAAAGCTTGTATCTTACAGTTTGATTAGTAAGTGCTTCTCTAATTAGGCTTCTGTAGAATTGGAAGCAAAACGACTTTTATACAATTTCTGGCCCTTCCTGGTTTGTCATTAAAAGTAAGGACTCAATGGATTTGATGCCTTTCAAGTCTCTCCTCATTCATCCTGCATCCTGTCCCGGTCCCTCCCCATTTCCCGCTGTCCTGCCTCTCCCATCTCATCTTCTCATCCCATTCTTCTAGTTTCTATCACTGCCTTTCCTCTTCATTCCCCTCTTCTTTCTCACGTTCTTCTCTCGCGCCTCGCCCCCTCCTCTCCCTCCATCCCCGTCTCTGTCATTACCACTTCACACGTCCCCAGCTCCACAGCCACCTTCTTTCTGACCAGCTCAACTGTCTCATTCCCAAGGTCAAAGTCAAATACCGTTATTTCTGGTCCCCCCGTAAGAGCTGATGTCTCTAGTATAGGCTTCGATGGTAGCCAGCACTTTCTCTTCAGAGCTCCCAGGAAAACTCTTTCTGGGATCGTTTGTGCCATAGCTTTCTCCAATAAAACTGTTGTCTCTGGGAAAGAATGTGTCAGGCATGCCTTGTAGCGTGGCTACAGGTCCTCAGCTATGACAGGTGACTAACTAATATAATATTTGGATATCTCTAGTCAGCACCACTTAATAATTTTTATTATTTTATGTATGTGGGTGTTTTGGCTGCATGTACGTATGTGTACCACATGTGTGCCGTGCCTGTGGAGGTCAGATGAGGTGTTGGATCCTCTGGAACTGGAGTTACAGATGGTTGTGAGCCACCATGTGGATGCTGGGAATTGAACCTGGGTCCTCTGGAGGAGCAGCCAACGCTCTTAACCACTGAGCCATCTCTCCAGTCCAGTCAGCAATGTGTTTATCTTCCCTGTCCTTATGTGGGGGAGACTTGGTGGTTCTTTGTGAGGCTGAGCGATGCAGGTTCACTTAGGTGGGAATCAACAGAAAAATTGAGTAGAAGGAACAAACGTGTCTGCTTCTTCTACAGGGGCCTGTGGAGGTCGGAATGCTTTGTGGATAGTGGTCAAGGGCCTAGGGAGGCCAATTTAAGTTTGATGTTTCCAGACTCTGAAGTTTGAAATTGATATTGATGGAGCGGTGCATGAAGTGCAAAGAGGAAGAAAAACCCATTTTTCTACCGGTTACGTATGGCCCCTTTCTGCTTGCCAACATGTCTGATATGATAGACTGAAAGTACCATTTTCTTGGTAAAACAAATACAGACCTCTTTCTAAAACCAGCTTTTGATACTTTATGAGTAGGGCTGGTGTATGTAACCGATCAAGACCAACATATGGTTTATTATGACATTTTGCTGATTAAAATAGTCTAGACATAAACTTGAGATTTCAGAAATGTTGAAGTTAAGTAAGAGCTACATTTTAATGTACAGTAGATGTGTACTTAGTGCTAGGCCACCTGTGTCCCTACAGGAATTACGGGGCAGGAAGTCCTTTTGACTCGAGAAGTGTGTCTGAAAATTAAGGTTGTAAATTAACAACAGCTTGTCTATTAGATTATTTCAGCCATAAAGGACTCAGTATGTTTCAAAACGCTCGTGATTTTCAATACATTTCTGTGGCTTGATTTAATAAAGAGTGATGCTGGGAATGCCTTTGGCTCGAAGCTTTGCAAAGGCCCATTTTTAGAAAATCCCAGAGAATAAATAGTAGCTGCTATTTAGGCTGCGGTAGAACACACCTGTGGTAAGTGGAAAAAAAAAAAAAAAAGCTTGAGCCGCCCCTTGGCTCAGCCGGGCCTCTGGGTGGACACCAGGGGGAGTGTGTGGCTTTGGTGCCAAGAGGCCTGGGCCCTCCTCGGCTTCAGAACCTGGAGTACAGCTGGTACTCCGTCTGGCATTGTTTTCCTGGTGTGTAACTCATGAATAATGAGGCCCTAATTAACACGAGGGGCGGCTGTGAGGATTAAATGGCTAATGTTTGGGACCAAGCACTTTGAAGTAGAGTCCATCATGAGGAGTTGTTGGGGCAATCCCGAGGCTCCTTTAGGTCTCGTTTTGATTAGCTGTTCTTTCTGTCTGACCCTCTGAGGGACAGAAGAGGTGGGTGAAGCCAGGCAATGAGCTAGGAATCGGGAAGGGAGGAGGGTCAGGGGTCTCTGGTTGGCACACAGAGAAGCAGATGGGAAAAAAGTGGGGAAGGAAGGAGGAGTGGGGAGAGGGGACGGGGAGGGAAGAGGGGGCCGAGGAAGAGAAGGGAGCAAGGTAGAAGCTGAGAGGGACGAGAAAAGAGAAGAAGGAGAGGCCAGAGAACGGAGTTCTGAGGTCTCTGAGGGCCTTACTTCCGGGTGGTCTTCAGGCTGTGGAAGTCCTGGCATTGCCTGGGACTGGAGCAGGACCAAGGTGGGCAGAATGGGGTTTTTTGTTTCCTTGGTTTTTGCCTTTCTTCTGCGGCCAGGCTATTGAGTTGGCAGGACCCATGGGGCCCATGGTGATCTGAAGCCTTTGAGTCAGTCTCTCTCTCTCTCTCTCTCTCTCTCTCTCTCTCTCTCTCTCTCTCTCTCTCTCTCTCGTTATATGTGTGTGAACTGTATTTACCATTTTTTCCCCTGAACTATTTTCTTTCTTTCTTTCTTTCTTTCTTTCTTTCTTTCTTTCTTTCTTTCTTT